AAGGAGAAAGCCTTCTCAGAAGGCTCGGAAGTCCCTCGGGCCTTCTGAGAAGTGTGATGAGCCTTACCCGAAGACACAAAAAAAACCTCTCAGAAGGCGCGAGGCCCTCTGAGGAGCTCCGCCGCCTTCTGAGAAGGCTTTCTCCTTCTCACCTCCCCCCCTCGCTCGCCGCTGAAACTGCGAGCCGAGCCAAGACCCCGTTCCTCCATGGACCCTTCCCTGAGATCCTGGGGCCTCGATCTCCTCGAGCCAGGCGCCTCCGCCCAGATTCGGACGCCGAGACCCTCACAGATCGCCCTGGGCTCGACAAAAACGGCGCGGAAGGATGGGGTCTGGGGAACTGGCCGTGCTCCTCCGCGCTGCTGCGAGCTGTGCGCCGCGCCGGCTCTCGAGCCTTCCTGCCTCCTCCCTCCCTGCCTCTTGACGGCCCCCCGGCCCGGGAGGGGCCCCGGGCTTCCGAAGCTAGGAGAGGGGGCCAGGACCCCGGCCTGTCCTCCACAAACGGCTGTTCGCCATCAGAGGCCTCCCAGATGGGATCCGAGCAGATGGAGTCGGAGGATCGCACCGCATCGCCGATGCATCGACGATGCAACTGCGATGCAACGGCGACGTCGGCGGTGCACCGGCGACAACAGCGTGGAGAGAATGGGGGATTTCGGAAACCCTGAACCCAAAAACGTTTTCATCTCTTGGGGGCACATCTTGTACTTCCGCCGCCTTCCGCCGAGCTTCCGCCAGCTTCCGCTGGTTTCTGCCGGCGGAGGCGGCCTCGTTCTGCTTCCGCCGACCCTCCACCGCCCTTCCGCCGCCTTCCGCCGAGGAAGAGACGACAACTCCTTCCACCCTCGATGGCAAGGCCCTCCTTGGAACGCCTCACGTGGACCTCGTCCCTGAGGGGCCTGTTTCCCACCACCACCACCACCACCACCACCACACGAAGTTGTAGGGCGAGGGGGTCCTCCTCCTCCTCCTCCTCCTCCTCCTCCTCCTCCTCCTCCTCCTCCTCCTCCTCCTCCTCCTCCTTCCTCCTCTCTCCTCCTCCTCCTCCCTCCTCCTTCCTCCTCATCCTCCTCCTCCTCCGCCTCCTCTCCTCCTTCCTCCTCCTCCTCCCCTCCTCCCCTCCTCTCCTCCTCCTCCTCCTCCCCCTCAGTCCTTCACGTCGCTCCTTCATCTTCCCCCCCCTCCAACTGATGGTGTGTGGTGGGGAAGACAGGCCCATCAGTCCCTCACCAGTCCTCCTCGTCCTCCTCCTCCTCCTCCTCCTCCTCATCTCCTCCTCCTCCTCCTCCTCCTCATCCTCCTCCTCTCCTCCTCACCCGCCTCCTCTCCTCCTCCTCCTCCTCCTCCTCCTTCGTCGTCCTGCCTCCTCGTCGTCGTCCTCGTCGTCCTCCTCCTCCTCCTCCCACTCCTCCTCCTCCTCCTCCCCTCCTCTCCTCCTCTCCTACTCCTCCTCTCTCCTCCTCCTCCTCTCCTCCTCCTCCTCTCCTCCTCCTCTCCTCTCCTCCCCTCCTCCTCCTCCCCTCCTCCTCCTCCCATCCTCCTCCTCCTCCCCTCTCCGCCCCCCCTCTTCCTCCACCTCCTTCCCCCCTCCAACTCATGGTGGTGGTGGTGGTGGTGGAGCACAGGCCCGTCAGCTCCTCCCTCCCGCCTCTTTCCTCCTCCTCCTCCCTCCTGCCGGCCCCTTCTCTCCCCGGGCGGGGCGGGGGGCTCCGCGGAGGGGCCGTCCGCCCACTGCACCAGCGCCGCTGGCTGCGGCCACCCGAAGCCCTGCGCAGGGGAGGGAGGGCAAAGAACGAGGAGGGGGAGGAGGAGGAGGAGGAGGAGGAGGAGGAGGAGGAGGAGGAGGAGGGGCAGGAGGAGGAGGAGGAGAAGGAGGAGGAGGAGCAGGAGGAGGAGGAGGAGGAGAAGGAGGAGGAGGAGGAGGAGGAGGAGCAGGAGGAGGAGGTGGAGGAGGAGGAGGGTCGTGATGATTCGGGCCGTTCGAAGGCCCCTCGAACGCATGCGAAAGGATGGTTCGGGCCGCTCGAAGGCCCCTCGAAAGCATGCGGAAGGAGCAGGGGGCGACCACACCCCGCACTGGGCAGGAGGAAGGCAACCCCGACAGAGCCGATAGGCCCCGCGCCAGGCCACCAAGACCAAGCCACAAAGGCCTACCAAACGCCCGCACGGGAGCTGCGTAGACCTTGCGCCGTGCAAGGAAGAGTCACCCGCCCCCCCTCGCCCGCGAGGATTTTTTTCCGCTCACAGCACCTCCACCTGCGCGAACTCGGCGCATGTCCCTGGCCCGACGGCGAGCAGCACGCCCGCGACGCCCACCAGGGCCCTCAGCGGCGGCGCGCCACCGCCGCCCTCCGCGCCTGCGCCCGGTGCGGCGGGCATGGGTAGGGAAACGAAGGATGACATAGACATAAAAAGTCGGAGGTCCGCGCGGATGTCTCGGATCGGCGCTGGACCCCTCACCCTGGCGCGCGGAGCTCGCCAGTGGCGGCGCCAGAAGCGCCGCCGGGGGGGTCCAGCGCGGATCCGAGACATCAACGCGGACCTCCGAGTTTGTATGTTTATGTCGTGTCTCGTTCCCCTAATGGGGGCCAGCCCGCGCCCCGCCACGCCGCCCCCGCCCAGGCGCAGCTCGCAGCGGGGCCCTGCACGCGGCGCGCAGCCGCCGCCGCCGCCGGGCGGCCAGCCCGCCTCCGCGCGCGCGCGCGAGGGCGAACTCGTGCCCAGGGCGGCGGCCGCCGTCGCGCCGCAGCCGCTCTCCTGGTCATCCCAGCCCTGCAGCCGAAGCTCCAGGTCCAGCCAGTCGGCCGGGGCTGCCTCCTCCACGCCAGGCGGCGTGGCCGCGCGCCCGAGCAAGCCGCAGACGCGGCGCCCCCTCCGCATGCAGACGCCGCCCGGGCCCCAGCTGGCGAAGAGGCCGGCCGCGAGCCCGGCGGCCCCGAGCCGGAAGCCGCGCCCGGCCGAAGCCTCCTGCAGCCACCTCGGGCTGGGCCCCGCGGCGGTGCCCGGCAGCAGCACGAGAAGCTCCGCGGAGCCGTAGGGGCAGGACCCCGCCGGCCCGAGGCGCGCCCGCACGCGCACGCGGCGCGGCGCGCTGCCGGCGGGCAGCTCGTGCCACAGCGCGGCCGCGACCTCGGGCGCGCCGTCCGCGGCGGCGCGGCCAGGATCGGCGGCGGCGGAAACCCTGCCGCCCTCGTCCAGCGCGCCGGGCGCCGACGGCGCGCCCAGCCGCGTCCAGCGGCGGAAGGCCAAGGGGCCGCTGGCGGCGGCGTCCTCGAAGAGCAGCCGGCCCTCCGCGGCGTGCACCGTGCGCCACGTCCACCCGCCGCGCGGAGGGCCAGGGGCCGGCGAGGCGCCCGACCGCAGGCTGTGGCTCTGGCCCTGGCCGCGGCGCGCGACCTCGGCGCCCCGGCCCGGGGGCGGGGACCCCGGGGGCGCGTTCGGCACGGCGGGCGGCGGCGCGGACGAGGCCAGCGACGGGGCCTCGGGCGCCCTGCGGGCGCCGCGGCCTGCCGCGGCGGCGCCGCGCTGGAGGCCCTCTTTGCCCGCGGGCGGCGGCCCGCTGCCGGACCAGCCGGCGCGCAGGGCGAGGAAGCGCAGCCCGAAGTGCCGCCAGGACGCGCACGCGCACGTGGCCCGCGCGGCGTCCCGCGCCGGCGGCCAGCACAGCACGAGCGCCAGGACGTCGAAGTCCACGTCCTCCCAATGCGCCCGCTCGCGCTCCCCGGCGCCGGCGGGGCCCGCCTCGTCCTCGGCCTCCTCCTCCTCCTCGATGTGCACGAGCACCATGGCGCCTGGGCGCTCCCGCGGGAGGCGGCTGGCACACTCGGGGGCTGGGGCGGCTGCTTGAGCCAAAATGGCTACGGAGGAGGAGGATAGGCAGAGTAGGAGAAGTACGGTCAGGAACTTTTGATTGGCGTGCCGCGGCAGCGGCCCCTGCGACACGCTACTACGCCTTGCGAGCTGATGGCGCGTCGCTCTGATGCGTGGGACGGGAGGCTGGGACGAGCTCGGAACGTTGATGTTTGGGGACTGGGGCGTGTTTAGCGTGTCGCGCCGAAGCGTGGTGGTTCAAAACCGTCGACGCGACACGCTAAGCAAAAGTTCTGGACCGCAGGAGCACGAGGAGAAATCAAGTAACCAAGTCGAGCGGGTCAGCGATCTCTGCATAAAGTAAGAACCGATGGTGGCACAACTTGCCATGGAACGCGTTCCCACCCAACGAACGGAACCTGATGTAGCCACGAGCCCCGACCTTGGAGGACAAGTGGGCATGACTTGCGAGGAAGAGGAAAACTAAGAAAAGGCTGCTTATGTGGTGCATAATACTGATTCCCGTGCTGTCCGTTTGACACTGTGCCGCTTTCAGGCGCAGTATGCTGCTTCCCGTGTTGTCCCTCTAACGCCGTGCTACTTTGTCGGGGCGTCTCCGACCATCTTGGAGCCCTGTTGGGCAGCCTTCGGGCCCTGGGGCGCCTCCGACGACCATCTCGGGGCCGTCTTAAGCAGTCTTGGGACCCTCTTGGGGGTCTTTGGGGGCTTCCTGGGGACCTCCTGGAAGCTTCTTGGGGCCTCTCGGGGGTCTCTTGGGGCCTCCTGGTTTTCGGGCGGAGAACCCAAAATGCTGGTCCGTGCTCCCCCTCTGGGCCCCCTCTTGGGGCGTTCCTGGGGCTTTCTTCAGCCGTCTTGGAGGCCTCTTGGGCCGCCTTGGAGGCGTCTTGGGCCGTCTGTGTAAAAAAAGGAAGCTGGGGCAATGTGCAGGGCTCCAGGGCCCCTCTCGTGCCAGCCTGAGGGCATACTGGTCGTGCGTGAGGAGGTGTTGAAAGGGGGGTGTCGTGCGCGAACAGAGCACATGAACATGCGAGCCACGAAGTGAGCTCAGCACGGCACCATGCGAGCCACCTGTCAAATGAGGGCCTTGTGAGGTGAGCTCAGCACGTGGCCATGCGAGCCACCGGGCGAGGACAGAGGGGGCGTCACGTGCGAGGGGAAAAAAAAATTGAGAAGATGATGGCTACGGGGCCTTCTTGTAGCCTCTTGGAAGCCTGGCGGGCCCTCCTGAGGGCCTCTTGGGGCCTCCTGGCGGTCTTTGTGGACGGAGAGCCCAACATGTCGGTCCCAGCCCCCCTTGTGGAGGCCTTCTCGGGGCTTTCCTGGGGCTTCGGAGGCCGCCTTGGAGGGCTCTGGGGCCGTTCTGACGTTCTGAAGCGTTTGCGTTTATCCTGGGGCTCTCTTGGGCAAGTGGGCGCGACTTGAAAGCGAGAGGGCAGCAGAGAAAACGGATGCCAAAAGGGCATCTGACGTTGGTTCCCTTTTTGTCCGTTTGACGCGGCGATGCTTTATCGGGGCGACGTCAACCATCCTGAAGCCCTCTTGGGCAGACTTGGGGCCCTCTTCAGAGCCTCTGGGAGCTTCCAGGAAGCCTCTCCGAGGCTTCTTGGGGGGCCTCTCGGAGGCTTCCTAGGGCGGCTAGGTGCTTTCCGGGGCCGTCAGGATGTCGTCCTGGACAAGATGCGGGCGACGAAGTGCGGTCAGCACGGCACCATGTGAAACAGTCGCAAAATGAGGGCCGTGCGAGGTGAGCCGAGCACGCTTTCATGCGAGCCACTAGCGGACGGCAGGTGGGCGTGGCTTGCGAGAAAGGCACCACGTGAACCACTTGAACGAAATAATGCCGTGTGCGATGAGCTCAGCACGCCACAATGCGAGCCACCGGCTTCGCAAGGGCCGTGCGCGTGCAGGTGTGAAAAAAAGGAAGCTGGGGCAATGAGCAGGGCTCCAGGGCCCCTCCGGGGCCAGCCTGAGGGCCTAGTGGTCGTGCGCGAGAAGGTGTTGAGAGGGGGGTGTCGTGCACGAACATAGCACGTGAACATGCGAGCCACGGAATGAGTTCATCACGGCAACGTGCGAGTCACCTGTAACATGAGGGCCTTGCGAGGTGGGGCGATCTGTGTGACCTCTTGGGCTGTCCTGGAGCGTCGGGAAGGCGACAACGCGGGAACCCGAAAAACCTTCAAAAAACCACCAGATACCAATGATTTGTGACACTCGGAGCTCTCTTGGAGGACCTCTCGGAGGCCTCCCGAGGCGTCCTGGGAGCTCCCTGGGCCGTCTTGACGCGATCCGGGGGGGCCTCCTAGGGGCCTCGTGGGGCCTCCTGGGGGCCTTGTTGCGCGGAGAGCCTGAAATGTTGGTTGCTGCCCCTCTTTGGAGGTTTTCTTGGAGCGTTCCTGGGACTTTCGGAGGCCGTCTTGGAGGCCTGGGGGCCGTTTTGAGGGCGTCTTGGACTGTTTGGGCGCTCTCCTGGGGGCCTCTGAAGCCGTCTTGGGACGATCTTTGGGACCTTTTGGGCTGTCTTGGAGCGTCGGGAAGCCGAAAACGCGGGAACCCGAAAAACCTTCAACAACCAACAAAAAAAATATCCTGGCGAAGGACCCAACCAGATGCAATTGTGAATACAGCAGTTGTGAATATCTTCTTCGGTGGAGCCCCCTACGGGGCCACGAAACGTACGAGGGGTGTGCCGAAATGGGCGTGCGGGACGCATGCGGGCACACCCACTGGGGCCTTCGGTGGAGCTCCCTATGGGACCACAAAACGGGCGAGGGGTCACGAAACGCGTGAGGGGTGTGCCGACATGAGTGTGCGGGACGCATGCGGGCACACCCACTGGGGCCTTCGGCGGAGCTCCCTTTGGGGCCACGAAACGTGTGAAGGGTATGCCGAAATGGGTGTGCGGGACGCATGCGGGCGGCAGCATTGAGACCTTTCGGTGGAGCCCCTCTACGGGGCCACGAAACGTGCGATGGGTGTGCCGAAATGGGTGTGCGGGACGCATGCGGGCACACCCATTGGGGCCTTCGGTGGAGCTCCCTATGGGACCACGAAACGTGTGAGGGGTCACGAAACGCGTGAAGGGTGTGCCGAAATGGATGTGCGGGACGCATGCGGGCACACCCACTGGGGCTTTCGGTTGAGCTCCCTATGGGACCACGAAACGTGTGAGGGGTGTGCCGAAATGGGTGTGCGGGGCGCATTCCCTATGGGGCCACGAAACGCGTGAGGGGTGTGCCGAATTGGGTGTGCGGGACGCATGCGGGCGGCAGCACTCTGGGGCCTTCGGTGGAGCTCCCTATGGGGCCACGAAACGTGTGAGGGGTGTGCCGAATGGGGTGTGGGTGGCGCATGCGGGCGGCAGCACTGGGGCCTTCGGCGGAGCTCCCTTTGGGGCCACGAAACGTGTGAGGGTGTGCCGAATTGGGTGTGCGTGACGCATGCGGGCGGCAGCACTGGGGCCTTTGGCGGAGCTCCCTATGGGGCCACGAAACGTGTGAGGGGTGTGCCCAATTGGGTGTGCGTGACGCATGCGGGCGGCAGCACTGGGGCTTCGGTAGAGTTTCCCTATGGAGCCACGAAGAGTGCAAAGGGTGTGCCGAAATGTGTGTCTGCGGGACGCATGCTGGGGCGGCGAGCTCCCCGTACCACACATGCCGAATTGGGTGTGCGGGACGCATGCGGGCGGCAGCACTGGGGCCTTCGGCGGAGCTCCCTATGGGGCCACGAAACGTGTGAGGGGTGTGCCGAAATTGGTGTGCGTGACGCATGCGGGCGACAGCACGGGGGCCTTCGGCGGAGCTCCTATGGGGCCACGAAACGTGTGAGGGGTGTGCCGAATTGGGTGTGCGTGACGCATGCGGGTGGCAACACTGGGGCCTTCGGCGGAGCTCCTCTGGGGCCACGAAACGTGTGAGGGGTGTGCCGAATTGGGTGGGGGTGACGCATGCGGGCGGCAGCACTGGGGCCTTCGGCGGAGCTTCTACTATGGGGCCACGAAACGTGTGAGGGGTGTGCCGAGTTGTGTGTGGGTGACGCATGCAGGCGGCAGCACTGGGGCCTTCGGCGGAGCTCCTGTGGGGCCACGAAACGTGTGAGGGGTGTGCCGAATTAGATGTGGGTGACGCATGCGGGCGGCAGCACTGGTGCCTTCGGTGGAGTTCCCTATGGAGCCACGAAACGTGTGAGGGGTGTGCCGACATGGGTGTGGGTGACGCATGCGGGCGCGGGCACTGGGGCCTTCGGTGGAGCTCCCTATGGAGCCACGACACGTGTGAGGGGTGTGCCGAAATGGGTGTGGGTGACGCATGCGGGCGCGGGCACTGGGGCCTTCGGTGGAGCTCCCTATGGAGCCACGAAACGTGTGAGGGGTGTGCCGAAATGGGTGTGGGTGACGCATGCGGGCGCGGGCACTGGGGCCTTCGGTGGAGCTCCCTATGGAGCCACGAAACGTGTGAGGGGTGTGCCGCAATGGGTGTGGGTGACGCATGCGGGCGCGGGCACTGGGGCCTTCGGTGGAGCTCCCTATGGAGCCACGAGACGTGTGAGGGGTGTGCCGAAATTGGTGTGCGTGACGCATGCGGGCGACAGCACGGGGGCCTTCGGCGGAGCTCCCTATGGAGCCACGAAACGTGTGAGGGGTGTGCCGAAATGGGTGTGGGTGACGCATGCGGGCGCGGGCACTGGGGCCTTCGGTGGAGCTCCCTATGGAGCCACGAAACGTGTGAGGGGTGTGCCGAAATGGGTGTGGGTGACGCATGCGGGCGCGGGCACTGGGGCCTTCGGTGGAGCTCCCTATGGAGCCACGAAACGTGTGAGGGGTGTGCCGAAATGGGTGTGGGTGACGCATGCGGGCGCGGGCACTGGGGCCTTCGGTGGAGCTCCCTATGGAGCCACGAAACGTGTGAGGGGGCCGAAAACGCATGCGGGCGCGGGCACTGGGGCCTTCGGTGGAGCTCCCTATGGAGCCACGAAACGTGTGAGGGGTGTGCCGAAATGGGTGTGGGTGACGCATGCGGGCGCGGGCACTGGGGCCTTCGGTGGAGCTCCCTATGGAGCCACGAAGCGGTGTACTGGGTGGGTGAAGAGGAGAGGGGGAGAGGAGGGGAGGAGAGGAGGAGAGGAGAGGAGAGGAGAGGAGAGGAGGCGGAGGAGGAGAGGAGGAAGGAGACGCGGGGCACCGTCTCTTCAAAACGAGGACCCAACAACACAGGTTGGTTGGGAACAATGATTTTTGACACTTAGGGCTCTCTGGAAGAGCCTCTCGAAAGCCTCCCGAGTCGTCCTGGGAGCTCCCTGGGCCGTCTGGACGCGATCTTGGACGGCCTGGATCGACCTGCTGGCGACTCGTGGCTCTCTTGGACACTCTTACGGGTCATCTTGGGGCCGCCCGTGCCGCGCGGAAGCGCGTCTGCCGAACTGGGGCCGTCTTCCACTGGCTTCCGCCGGCGTGTGCTCCGTGGCCGGGGGGGGTCCCGGGGGGTACCCCCCCAGACCCCCTCCAGGGGAACACTAAACGGGAACCCCTCCTCAAGGTCGGGGAAAAAGCACTCGCAACCGATCCCGCTTCCGACGACTTGGCGAGGGGAAAAAAATACCCTGTGACGTACCCAACCCTTTCTATACATGTGGCAAGTATACTCAGGACCACTCAATGTTGACTGGCATTCTGAAGGACCCGCAGTGCGCAAGAAGAGCACCCAGCAGTGATTTCAGAAGAGAGCAGTAAGAAGAGGAACGGCAGATATACAAAATGGAAGCACAGGGGCGATGAGAGAAACGCGTATGACGTACCTCCGAGTGATCCACGTGGACGTACCTCCGCTGGGCCTCCCAGGAGCCCACGAAAGTGGCGACAGTTGCGCAGATCGCAAGCCCCCCAGGGGACGGCGAGGTCCCGAAGTGATCCGCGTGGGACCCACCCCCGCTGCGCCTCCCAGGAGCCCACGACAGTGGCGACAGCTGCGCAGATCGCAGACGGCACGAGAGAAGAGGAGAGGGGAACACAGGAAACAGGAGAGAGGGAGGAGGGGAGGAGAGGGGTGGAGGAGAAGGAAGGAGGGGGCGACCACACTGCTCTATTCAAAACGAGTGACCAACACAGGAGGGTTGGGAAGAGGAGCGCGGGCCGCGCACGGGGGAGGAGGGACATCCAAAGCCCTGCGCGGCGCTGCGGCGAGGGCCCCAGCTCGCCCCCTCTGCTGGGCGAGCCAAGCTCCCCGCGGACCCTTCCCGCGCGAGCAGAGCGCGCCAAGGGCGGCGCCACAAGCACATTCAGGGGGGTCCAACGCACAACCGAGAAATCCGCGCGATCCGTGGGCAGGTCATGTTCATACATTTTTGCCATGTCTCGAAATTCCCCCCTGACTCCGCCCCAAACATGCGGGGCAGCGCGGGCAGAGGGCGCACAGGTCCTGCGCCGCGTAAGCGCCCGGGGCCTCGCCGTGCGGCAGGTCGAGGCCGTGTTCTGGCGCGGCCGCGCGGGCGTTGCCAAGGGGTCACGTGTTTGGAGGAGTGGAGCGGGGCGCCCAAAAGGCCGCTCCTCGTGCCCCTCCTCCTCCTCCTCCGCCTCCTCCTCCTCCTCCGCCTCCTCCGCCTCCTCCACCTCCTCCTCCTCCTCATCCTCCTCCTCGCCCTCGTGAATGTCCTAGCACTTTGCAGATGCATCATGAATGTTGGCATGATATGTAAAATATTAATAGGCTGTCGGTCTGGAAGTACTCGTACATGATATTCTAGCAGCGGTCCCAGATTGCGCCTACTCGGGGATGTACTCGTCGCCACTGGTAAACAAATGTACTAGTGCATGCGATGCGTCTAACCGCACGGGTCTCCGACCCAGGCGAGGGAAGGGCGCGCGAGCGCCTTTCCCTGTTCGCAACAAGTAGCTAACGATTGTCACTGTCATCGCTGTCGGCGCCAACCAATGCTAAAGGAAGCAGCGGCGGCAGCGGCAGGGCACACGAGGGGAGCGCAGCTAATGACTGACCCCGCGGCCGGCCTGGCGCGGGGACTACGCGCACGGGCGGACGTCAGCCTTTAGCTAACGCCCCCATGTCTGCGGCAGGACGCACCACCCCGAGTTCGGCGCGTCCCGAGGGCATGAAGTCGGCCTTTACCTCTTCCCGAGGCACTTCGGCCCCCGCGGTGCAAACCCCCGAAACTTGCATTGCACACGCGGAAGGGAAGGGAGCACTCCTGACACAGCCCTGCAGGGCAAGCCAAAACGGGCCGGCGAGTTCCACATTGGAAAAAGCGCACTGGCGCACTAGCGATCGGCTCATAAGGCCACTGCAGCGCGCCGCCACGCCGCGATCCGCGCACAGCTCTAAAATGCTCCCGCAGTTACCCTCTCATCACCAGCGCCCGCCCTCGCTACACTGGTCGCCACGGCCCCAGCTGCTGTTCCAGCTTTGCCAAGTGCCTGAGCCCCATCCTGCGCCCCTCGACGGCCAGCGGCCCTGCGAGCCGCGGCGCCACCGAAGGCGCAAATTCACTACCTCCTCTGCGGCCCTCAATCGGACGCCCGCGCGCCGGCGCTTTCCCGCCGCGGGTTCCGGGGCAGAACTCGAGGATGCTGCCGCCGACGGCGATGGCCTGGGATGGGGCGTCGACCCCGCCTCTTGGCGACGCCACTCCTTCATCTCAGGTGCCCCCCTGCCCGTTGCCTCCAACGGGCGCGCGCGCCGTCGGCGGGCGGCCCCGGGGGCCCGGTCGATGACGGGCGCTCCCCGCCATGCTCGCCGCGAACGCCAATGTCCCCGGCGCCGCCGACAATCGGCTGATGCTGGGCCCCCTTCTGCAGCCGCCACAGCGTTGACTTCTTCCTGCAATCCCCAATGTCCCCCTAGCTGCTCTGCCATCTCCGCCTTCAGGTCCGCGAGCGCCGGGAACAAGTTAGGGCGACGGATCTCGGCGAGCCGCTGCCCCCAGCCAGTCGATGGCTCATATTAGCCCCGTTGTCACCGGGGCGGTCGTGGCCCCAGTCGAACGGCTCGAGAAGGGAGCAATCGCTCTGTTGAGTACCCAGCCTCCTGCTGACGCATGGCCACCAGACCCTCGGATGGCCAGCGCGACTGGAACTTGATCCAGCGCCCCCCAACTTCCGCGCTTCCTTGCGTCGGCGGGCGCTCTGGTCGCGCGGCGCCAGGTTTTCTGGAGACGACGGGCGCCATGCTAAGGCAGCCACGACGTCGCGCCGGCGCGCCGCTTTGCCCCGCGGGGCCTGATTGCGGCAGTTGCCCAGCCTTGAAGAGCAAGCCTCGTGGCTGCCGGCACAGGGCCGGCAACGTAGTCCCAGGGCTCCTGGTCGATAACCCCTCCGATCACGTTGGATAACCCTGTTTCCCGCCAGTGATGCGCTGCTGGGGCCACCCAGCGCGGGCGCCTGAATCTCTGGGAAGCAGAATACGGGCGCCCGACAATGAAGATGGGAGTATTCCCAAACGATTTCTGCGCGCTGCGCAACGGACGAGACAACCGTCGCCCCGCGGCGGGGGCAAGAGAAGCTCCGCCGTGCACTCCGCCAGCACGAGGGCGTCGCCATCGCAGAAGATTCGATGGACAGACTGACGCGGTCGAATCCAATCGACACAGCCTGACCCGCGCCGCGGAAGCGCTGGTCATGCACCAGGGCCCACGAGACTGTCGGGGCCACGGTGGCAGCAACGATGACTCGAAAGACCTGACGCACATCGCTCCAATGTGGGCGGAATTCCACGGCCAGCAGGCCACCTGGGATAATCCAAAACGCAGCCGCGTCAAAGATTCGGGGCGGGAGCGCCATGATGCACGAACCTGACAGCTTATGCGGGTCGTCCAGATTGAAGACGCGCGCAGCAAAACAATGCGTGCCATAGCCCCTCGACCACCCGTTCGGACTAAGCAGGCGCGGGAAATTATCGGCGCCCTCTCCGCGCATCATGACAAAGCCTCGACGGGCCGGTCCAACTGCCCCGTCGGCGACATCCCCCCCGGCCTCGACGACGCAATCGTCGACGGCAGGGTAAGTTGGCCCTCTGAGTGGGAAGGGCGTCGAGGCACGCCCCACTGAGGCCCTTCTCCAGGGGCGCCACCGGCCCAGCCGTCGACGGAATCACGATGTCCACGCGCGTCGCGCACTGAACAAAAAACGGGCACGCGGCGGCAACGCGGCAAGGCGGGCCCGCTGAGCAACGCACCTCTGCAAACGGGGGGAGTCGCTTCTACCTTGCGCATTCCTCGATTTTGGGCGCAGCAGTAGCCATCATGACGACTTGCCAGCGCGCGCCCCCGGTCCAGGTGCCCTTTCTACAATGGGCATGCTCAGTCCACGGGGGCTGACGCAAGCCTCGCGAACCGCCCGTTAATGTGTGACGATGTTTCGACTGTATTCTTTGGCGCTCACGCAAATGTCGTCGCGGCGTGTCTCGATTGTATTCCCCGGCACAATCATGATCTGGCAGGCAAGCGATGACTCGAAAGACCTGCTGCACGTTGCTCCAATTTGGGCGGAACTCCGCGGCGAGCGAGCCACCTGGGAGAATCCTAGACGCAGCCGCGTCAAAGATTCGGGAGAAGAACGTCGCACTGCACGAACCTGACAGCGCGCGCGCGCGGGTCGCCCAGGTTGAAGACGCTCGCACAAGAAGCTGCGCGCCATAGTCCCTCGACCGCCCGTGCGGCCGAAGCCCGCGCGGGAAATTAACCAAGTCTTCTCCGCGCTTCGTCTCCAGGCACCAACGGACCAGCTCAACTGCTCCGTCGGCGCAATCCCCGCCGGCTTCGACGACGAAGTCGTCGACGAACGGGCAGTTGGCCCTCTGAATGGGAAAGGCGCTGAGGCACTTGCACTGTCGCGCCCCGCTGAGGTCCTTTTCCGGGGGCACCACCTGCCGGGCCGTCGACTGGGCCGCGGAGGTGACTTCGAGCGGCGCAACGATGGCCGCGCGCTGGCGCCTGTCGGGCAGCACGCGCCTGACGTAGATCCGTTTGGACGAAATCGCTCGAGGCGAGCGGCCTCTGCAGGCGCGGATCAGCAGCGGCTTGACCGTGGGCCTCTCGAACTCGCGGCCGCCAGCGACAGTCACTGGGCGGCCGCGCACGCCCGAAGCTTTCGTCCCAGGCGGGCGGCTCGGCAACGGCATCGCCGGCATCTTCGACCATTTCGACGCCCAGGAAATGCAAGGCGTCGACGGGCAGCGCGACTAGGGCGCGCAGGAAGCGCGCCCACGCCCAAGCCCTGTCATAGCCCCCACCCTCGGTCATGTCCACGATGACCATCGCTTCAACCCAACCTCCCGAGCTGAATGCATCTGCCGCGCTGTGCCACACGCCTCGCCAGATTAACGATTCGCGACGCCAGCCGTTCGACTCTCTCGCCCCAGACGACGCTGCACCAAGCACATCCGCCTCGCTTCTCGCGCAGGTCCGGATCGATGATCGCCTTGCAGTGCAGCTCGAAGTTGTCGCCCTTGGAGACCTTCGGGCGGAACTTCCACAGCCCCTTCGCATTGGTCCGCTGGGGCGAGATGCAGCGCGGGCGGAGGGCCACGCGAACGATGTTCGACGGGCGGCTGCAGCAACGCTGCCGCTGGCGGCCCGCGCCTGAATCCACCGTCACGAAGGCGTCGTCCGCACCCGCTTGTAAAGAAGGGAACACCAGCTGGAAGTCACAAGTGACCTCCAGGCCGTCCCCGAAAATGTCCCACGCCGCCGAGTAGAAGGCGCGGCACGCTGGAATGGCCTTGGCGCCTTCAAAAGCGCGCACACCCCCTCATCCTCCCCCCCGGGTTTTTGGAGGACTTGCTTCTGCCACCAACAACGGCACGTGAAACAACGACAACACCCGTTTTGATGGTGGCACCAAGCCGGTTGGTGTCGGCAGCATGCGAGAACAACCGCCAGCCCGCTCGCTGCCTGGCTTCAACGAAGCCGTTCGGCAGGTCGAAAGGGAGAGCGGGGATGGTCAGGCTTCTCGCGCGCAGCTATCCACTTGGTTTCCTAAGTCGAACAGGTCGCACAGCGTCGCGTTCTGGACAGCGGCAGAACACAAGCGTCGGGGCGCTAGCCATTCGATAGCACATTTACCCAGATAGCTGAGCGCGGGCTTCGGCGCGTGGGCCGTTCGCATCCGTTCGAACAACACGCCTTTGAGCAGAGCCCGTGCGCCCCCCCCCCCCTCTGTACCAAATATCATCTGGAATCAGTTTCTTGAGAACGAGCACCTGTAGAGGAAGCCTCCTCAATAGGCGATCGTAGCCCACTTCGTTTTCAAACTCGACCATTATTCCCTTCAGTGCGTCCCCCAGCACTGTCCTGCTTCTTCCTTGACCAATGATGAGGGCTGTCTAGTGAACTTCGCAAGCGGAGAATGCTTTCGGATATCTGATAGGCTCACCGTCGACGCTGCACTCCAGACTCGCCCCCTCGTTCTCAAAGGTGGAGTATTCGAGGCTGTTGTCCTGCAGACTCTGCCAATAAGAAAAAATCGCCCTCCTTCCCGCGGGGGCCACCGACACAGTCGGCGGACTCCCATCGGTCCTTTCGTCGCCTTCGGGGTTTCCACACTTATCGTCTCGGATTTTTCTGCCGCCGTCATGCATATGGCGATGCTCTCGTCGGGGGCCCGTTTGCTTTGCACGAACGCGGGGGTCAGGATCACCCCAGGCAGGGAAACCAGATCATCGAAGGAAAACGCGTAGAATGGCGCGTCGACCCATGGGGGTTTCGGCGCAAATGACTTGCTCCTCACCCGATCCGCGATTTTGGCCAGGTCGACATCCAGGTGCGACAGCTCCAGTATGGCGGGCATGTCGCTCTCGCGGAATGGCTGGAGCCCGCCCGTGTCACATGCGACCAGGGAGCAAGCGATGAAAACTCGATTGACCGCGCAGTTTGCTTTTTCGCGGACAGCGGCGCAACCACGGCGCCGCAGGTCACAAAGATCCTGGCTGAGTTTCACGCGCGCGCGGCATGCCTTCAGGCCATATTCGGCCGTGTCCTCGGCGAGAGATTCTTCAATGCGGCCGCGCCGTATCGGCAGGAAGCGCCAGTTGTCTCCGGGGGTTCTCTCATTGCATATACAGCTGATCCAGAGCATCCTTCACGGGTACCTCATATATTCCCAGCGCTCAGAATAATAGTCGATGCAATCTGATATAGAAGATGAACAAGACGACGATGTACGGATATGGTCGCGCATGAAAGACAAGGCGTAAAGCATGGCGCACGGCTCAACGACACAGTTCGAGCGCCTGCACGTACCATTGCAACGTGGACCATGTTCAGCAAGGATGGCGGGCCCGCATACAGGTCCAGCAGCGGAGCCGCGTCGGGCAAGGATGCAGTGAAACGGGCAACGCATGGTTGTTTTCGCTCGAGACTCGATCCAAAACAAGCCGCTTTTCTCGTTTCGTTCAAGGCTCGATCCCGAGCGAGTGCCAGGATGTTTGCTATGTCCCAACCATCCTGTGGTGTTGGGTCCTCGTTTTGAAGAGACGTCGCCCCGCATTCCTCCCCTCCTCTCCTCCTCCTCCTCCTTCCCCATTCCTCTCCTCCCGTCATCATCACCGTCATCATCATCACCACCAACGTCATCATCATCATCATCATCATCAGCAGCGTCCTCATCATCATCGTCATCATCATCATCGTCATCATCATCACGACCGTCATCATCACCAGCATCATCACCCATGTCGCACCCCTCACACGCTTCGTGGCCCCATAGGGAGCTCCACCGAAGGCCCCAGTGCCACCGCCCGCATGCGTCCCGCACACCCATTTCGGCATATCCTTCACACGCTTCGTGGCCCCATAGGGAGCTCTACCGACGGCCCAAATGCCACCGCCCGCATGCACAAACATGTCCGCACACCCCTCACAAATTTCATGGCCCATAGGGAGCTCCACCGAAGGCCCCAGTGCCACCGCCCGCATGCCCCCCCCACACCCAGTTCGGCACACCCCTCACACGTTTCGTGGCCCCATAGGGAATCTCACCGAAGGCCGCAGTGCCACCGCCCGCATGCGTCCCCCACACTCATTTCGGCACACCCCTCACACGCTTCGTGGCCCCATAGGGAGCTCCACCGAAGGCCCCAGTGCCACCGCCCGCATGCGCCCCCCCCACACACAATTCGGCACACCCCATCACACGTTTCGTGGCCCCATATGGAGTTCCACCGAAAGCCTCAGTGCCACCGCCCGCATGCGTCCCCCAAGCCAATTTCGGCACACCCCTCACACATTTTGTGGCGCAGCAGGGAGCTCCACCGAAGGCCCCAGTGCCACCGCCCGCATGCGTCCCCCACACACCCATTTCGGCACACCCCTCACACGCTTCGTGGCTCCATACGGAGCTCCACCGAAGGCCCCAGTGCCACCGCCCGCATGCGTCCCCCACACCCATTTCGGCACACCCCTCACACGTTTCGTGGCCCCATAGGGAGCTCCACCCAAGGCCCTAGTGCCACCGCCCGCATGCGTCCCCCAAACCAATTTCGGCACACCCCTCAAACGTTTCGTGGCCCCATAGGAAGCTCCACCGAAGGCCCCAGTGCCACCGTCCGCATGCGTCCCCCGCCCACACACATTTCGGTACACCCCTCGCAGGTTTCGTTGCCCCATAGGGAGCTCCACCGAAAGCCCCAGTGCCACCGCCCGCATGCGCCCCCCACACGAATATCGGCACACCCCTCACACGCTTCCTGGCCACATTGGGGGCTCCACCGAAGGCACCAACGCCACCGCCACCATGCGTCCGCCACACTCAAGGTTTCAGTGAACAGCTCCAGACCTTTGGGGAGAAGGAGGAGGCGGAGGAGGAGGAGGAGGCCCGCTCCCCCCTGTATGTTTGTTGCTTTGCATTCGCGGGAGATTCCACTCCGCCAGCGAGGGTCTTTCCGGAGTTCTCGCCGTGGTCGCTGTAAACGAGCGGTGGAGGAGTGGCCTGGTGGATGTCGTCGCCGCCGTCGTCGTATTCGTCCGGCGGCGGCTCCGGATCGCCCCGCGGCATGCGGGCTGGCGGCCGTGGACGCGCCGGGGATCCTCCGCATCCGCGGGAACGTGGCCGACCACGGGTTTGCGAAATGCTCGTCCGGGCAGGCCGCGCCCTTCGTGGACGACCTGAAGCGCCACGACGACAGCCTCACGGGAGACCTCGCGGGCCCGCTAGTGTTCATCGAACCCCGCACGTCGGAGCCGTTCACTTTCTGCACAAGGTCACCCGGACGGGCTTCCCATTCTCGCGCGGCAGGGCCATCACCACGGTGGCGTGCCAGGGGCGCACCATGCGAGAAGGCGACGGGGCGAGGGAACGGCGCCCCTGGGCAGTTTACAACCGAACCTACTGGGCGCGAGCGGACTGCAGCTGGACCATCTCTCTCTCGGTCCTGTGGACTCTCGCCCTGGGCCGTCGGCTGTCTGGCGCGCTGCCCCCTCGGTCGACGTCGCCCAGGCGTGATCCTGGACTGCGGCCGTCACGAGGTCGGGAACGGCAAGAAGGAGGACGACGACTGGTGGCTGGAGCTCTACGCGCTGCTCTCGCGCGCCACGCGCCACGAGGACCTCCTGCTCACGCGGCCGCCGCGCATCGAGTTCTTCCTGACAAGGCCGCCGGAAGGCTTGCTAAAGCAACTGGAGCAGTTTGCGACGCGCACGAAGCGGTGCAGGAGGGAGGCGACGGCCCTCGCCAGGGAGCTCGGCTTCACCGAATTTATCTGCGAGGCCTGACCTGAGGAGCGCCCCCCCCGAGCCGCGCCTTCTCTCGACTGCCCAACTAATTCTTTGGCCTCGCGCCGCGGACGACCCGCGCGCGTCGCTGGGACCCTCCCGGGGCGACCAGCGCGCGTCGCGGGAACTCCGTGCTGCGTTCTTCCCTGCGCCTCGCTCGCGTATCGTCGCTCTGCCCAGCGGTCAGAGCCTTGCCCGCTATCAGCCAGCCAGCCAGCCAGCCAGCCAGCCAGCCAGCCAGCCAGCCAGCCAGCCATCTAGCTAGCTAGCTAGCTAGCTCTCTTTGCTCCGCGCAGCGGACGACCCGCGCGCGTCGCTGGGACCCTTCCGGGGCGACCGGCGCGCGTCGCGGGGACTCCGCGCCGCGCTGCGCCCGCAGCTTTGGACTTTGGAGTGCGCGGGCAAAGAGGGAGGAAAAGAAGGGAAGGAAGCGGGCGCGATCCTCGTGAGTGGCGTGCCGACATGGGCGTCGCGGCGTGCGGCCGCTGCCGCCGGGGTTCCCGCGGAAGCTTTCTGCGGCGGCCACGCTCAGTGTCGCGAGTGCACAGACAGGCATACCAGAACCATTCACTTCCATATACATTTACACGAGGCGTAGCCATGATCGCACTCGTGCAAGTATAAACTCGCTCGCACGCAGACTCATTCACATTTAGACTCACTCGCGCTCAGATTCTCCCGCGCTCAGTCTCTCGTAATGACACCAATCGTTTTCCTTCGTGTTGTGTACCCCGCCACATTTCGGCACGCCCCTCATACGGTTCGTGGACACCACCGAAGAAGATACTCAGAATTGCGATACTCATAACTGCATATGGTTGGGTCCTTCGCCTGGATAATTGTTTTTTTTGGGGGGTATAGAGACCTCTATATACATATACACATATATATATATATACACGAAAAATCGCGTTCCCCCCGGTGGGCTGCCCGCCCCTGCTCCGCGACCGCCGCTCTGTGCCGAGAGGGCGGCGGGAGCGAGGCACCCACGGGCGCGAAAGGAGGCAGGGGGGGGCGAGCTAGGTGCGCTCGCGTCATATCTTACGTCCTACCACCCCCTCCCTCCTATCCCTCACCATCTCTCTTCGCACACGTCGGACGTCGAGCAGGGCAACGGCGAAGAAGAGGGGGGGGGGATAGGCGATCGACGCCTTGCCCATACCTCTGCTCACACCAGGATTCTCGAGGGGGCGGGGCGTGGGACGCCGAAGGACCTGTTCCGAGCCGCACGCTCGGCACAAGCACCTCTCGTGGCACACCGCTGCCCGAGCGGCATGGCCGCACCACGCCCGCCACGGAGCCTCTACCGCCACAAGACGTCCGCGGACGTCTTGTGGCACGCTCGCGCCACAAGACGTCCCGGACAAGACGTCCCGCCACAAGACGTACGCGCACGCTCGCGAGCGTGCGCGTCGCCTCTTGCGTGGCCGGCGCACCTGTGGTCTGAGTATGCGTGGGTGGTGCCGGAAGCAGGGGCCGGTAGAAGAAGAAGAAGAAGAAGCGGCATGCACATAAACTTCTGATTCTGAAGCTCCGCGCGGACTGCTGGGATCCGCGACGGAGCCCCCTCCCTGGCGCGCGGGGCGCGCCAGGGGCGGCGCCGGAGGCGCCGCCGGGGGGGGGGGCCCAGCGCGGATCCAAGAAAGCCGCGCGGAGTGCCAGAAGTCTATGTTCTTGGCGATGTTATTATTATTATCATTTTTTATTAGTATTATCATCATTATTATCATTATTATTATTATTATTATCATTATTATTATTATTGTTAATAGTATTATTATTATTGTTTCAGTATTCATTTATCATTGTTATTATTATAGTTAGTATTATTGCCATTACTATTATTATTAAATTATGATTATTAGTATTATTAATAGTATTAGTATGAGTATTAGTATTAGTAGTAGTATTAGTATTAGTATTAGTGGTAGTAGCAGTAGTAATAATAATAGCAGTAGTAGCAGTAGTAGTAGTAGTAGTAGTAGTAGTAGTAGTAGTAGTAGTTGTAGTAGTAATAGTAGCAGTAGTAGTAGTAGTAATAATAATAGCAGTAGTAGTAGTAGTAGTAGTAGTAGTAGTAGTAGTAGTAGTAGTAGTAGTAGTAGTAGTAGTAGTAGTAGTAGTAGTAGTAGTAGTAGTAGTAGTAGTAGTAGTAGTAGTAGTAGTAGTAGTAGTAGTAGTAGTAGTAGTAGTAGTAGTAGTAGTAGTAGTATCATCATCATTATGTTTCTTCCTCTTCGAGCGAGAGAGAGAGAGAGACAGAGAGAGAGAGAGCGAGAGAGTGGGGGCCCGGATAAAAAAAGCCCATGCCTCCGGACGCCACGTGCTTCCCCCGAGCCCTGCCCCCCCCCCCTGGCGGCCGGAGCGCCGGGGCCGCCGTCCGGCGGCGGGGGCACGGCCCGAGCGCCTCGGCGGTCGGCCATCTGCAGCAGCTGCCGGGCGGTGGTGAGGGGCCGCGGCGCCTCGCTCGCCGCCTCGGCATCCTCCGGGGCCGGCCGGGAAACGAATTGTTGAATTTCGAGAGCAAAATTTTCAACCGACCAAAAGTCACCAAAAGGTCCGTCGAGATTTTTCTTGCCAACTGGCTCTCCAGCGCCCCGGAACTGGGCGCCGGCGGTAAACCGTCAACCTTTGTTACCGCCGGGGGACTCGTAGAGCTTCCTGACAGTATATAATGTGAAAAAAAATCCAGAGAATTTCAGCCCAAGCCAGAAAGGGGATCCCACGGCCTCCCCTGGAGTTTTTTTCGCAGCGCAAGCAAAAAACTGTACACAGTTTTGACTCCACACGCTGGCGAAGATCCAGAGGCTGAGGTGTAATCTGGGTTTCAAGTCTGGCTCCATGAATTACCACGAGTTTCCACGAAAACTTAAAGGCCAGATAATACGGCAAAAGAAAACACTCGCCGAAAGCTGCCTGCAACTCCACGGCTTCCCCTGGAGTTGTGGATGCCACGACACTGGACACCCTAACAGTCCTATCATTGAAATGAAAAAGTGTTTAAAATGTGTAAGACATGCTCCAAAAGTGCTCCAGACCTGTTTTTACAGATTGTAAACATGTTTGAAACAGTTGGTTTAAACATCTGGAAATCGTTTTGCAACCTGCTTCCTCTCCATTGATCGCCCTCCACAACCCTAGGGGAACACACTCACGGCATGAGCATAAACTGTCGGTGCTCCGCGCGGATTTCCGGGAGCCGCGCCGGAACCCTCGGCCTCCTCTGGGTCGGCTGGGTGAGGGAGGGGATCCCACGGCTTCCCCTAGAGGAGCAAGAAACTGCATATAAACATGAGCGGTCGGCGCTCCGCGCAGAGGTCTGGGATCCGCGCCGGAACCCCCTCCCTGGCGCGCGGAGCGCGGCAGGAGCGGTGCCGAAGGCGCCGCCAGGAGGGGGCCCAGCGCAGATCCAAGAAATCCACGCGGAGCGCCAAAAGTTCATGTTTATGGCGTTTGTTCTTCTTCGATTTCTACTAGCCTCGTCCAAAATCGGGGATGGACAGACCCCCCTTTAGCAAAACGTGGTTTAGTGAAAACGACCTGAGGCCCAAACCTGGCGGGCGCAAGCCTGGAAAATAACGGCCACGGCGCCCTCTCGAGAACCGAAAACGGGCAATTCACTAATCGACGTGTCACTGTTGGGGGTTCTGTCCATCCCCGAAAAAAATGTGATGGATCGCCGTGCAAGATCTGGCGCTCGATTCTTCGGACACTCGTCAGGAAGCGCGCCCTTCCGTGCTGTCAGGGTGCTGCCGGAATTCAGGCGCCCCTGCGCGAGCGCCAGAGACCTCATGCCAGCATGGAAACAGCGCCGACCACGCGAGCGCCGAAGACAAGAACCGTCGGTTGTTATTGAAGGGGCCCTGGGACACACAAATAAATACACACAAATAAAAATGTTCCCTATATTTTCCCATATTTTCTGGGTTTTTGTCTTCCCCACCACTTCCCATATTTTCCCACATTTTCTGGGGAGTCGACGATTAATTGTGTCTGTGTGTTTCTTCCCCTCCTGAGTTATGTCCGACAGCTTGGTTGGCCCCCTAACTTTCTGTGTCGCCCCCCGCGACGCGCGACGCGCAGTCGCCTTCGCGACCCCGCGCCGCCGCCCTGGAGAAGGGCGCCTCTCCAGTCCAGGCCGCGACGCGGGAAGCGAGATCATCCTCGCGCCACTGGCGGTGAGCCATGCTTCCGCTATCACGCGGTGACAGAGGGATGGGGGGAAGGAGAAAGGAGGAGAGGGGGAAGGCAGGAGGGAGGAGGAAGGGAGGAGAGACGAGGAGACGAGGAGGCAGGGAACAGGCAAGGAGCAGGGAGGAGGGAGAAGGAAGGAGTGACGAGGGAAGAGAGGGGAGGGAGAGGGTCGAGGGAGAAGGGACGAAGTGCGAGAGACGAGGGAAGAGGGAGGAGGGAACGTGTGCTGGTTGCAGCGCGCCCGTCTCTGTGCTGCTGCGGGGCCAGGCGGGCAGCGCACCTCACCGCGCGCTGCCCGTTTGGAAGGCCCGGGCGCCGACCCGGCTGCACCAGGGATCGTGGGCGGTCCTCCTCCTCCTCCTCCTCCTCCTCCTCCTCCTCCTCCTCCTCCTCCTCCTCCTCCTCCTCCTCCTCCTCCCTCCTCCTCCTCCTCCCCTCCTCCTCCTCCTCCGCCTCCGCCTCCGCCTCCGCTCCTCCGCCTCCTCCTCCTCCGCTCCTTCTCCTCCTCTCCTCCTCTCCTCCTCCTCCTCCTCCTCCTTCTCCTCCTCCTCCTCCTCTTCCGCCTCCTCCTCCTCCTCCTCCTCCTCCTCCTCCTCCTCCTCCGCCTCCGCCTCCGCCTCCGCCTCCTCCGCCGATAGCACCTGCGACGACGAGCGGCGACGGCAATGCCTCCCCGCACGGCGCCCAGGCGAGCGGCCTTCTCCGGGGCGAGCGCGCGGCACGGCTGCCGCGCGACGCGCTCGGGACGACCCCGCGCAACGAGAGCACCCGGGCGGCGGAGGCGAGCCGCTGGAGCCGCGTGCCCAGGCTCAGCGTCCCTGCGAGGTGCCTCCCCCTCCCCCCAGTGTTCAAAGTTGGCGGTGGGTCTGAGGAGTTGCACCTCGACCGCAGTCTCCTCCGCGCGTGCCAACCTTGAGTTTGGGGGGCAGGGGGGGTGTTCACTAATTGTTTCCCTCTACCGTAGATTGGCGGGCGGCCGCAGGCTGAATGGGCTACCAATGGGGCCAGCACTCAGGAAAGATGCGACAAGGAAACCGCTGGCGTCAACGAGGTAAGCGACACAGGCACGGGCGGATTCAGGCGTTGCAACAAATGCTGTAGGGGCGGCAGCAGCTTGGAGATAGCGTTCCGGACAGGAGGGCTACCGCCAGAGAGCCCGCCAAAGACGCAAGAAATGTCATCCGTGGGGGCGGTCCTGAAGCCCAACGCAAGAGTCATATTGAACCATGCTGGCGCTGTGGCTAACGGCGCGCCCAATGGAGTACAGAAGCCGCTTTGACCTAAGGCCCATAAGGAATCGGTGGAACGCAAATCCCGAAAGACCAACTCCATCATGCTGACCACTGCTGGATCGGAGCACCGAGCATGCTGCTTGGGGCCAGCAGCACGATACAGAGCAGCGACACACGATGTCGGGTGCGGTTTCGTCGACATGATGCGATCAAGCAAACAAAACACACGCTGACACGCTCCGCCAGAACAGCGGGTTCGTTGGAGCAAACATGGCCAGGACAGAATCGCCCGTGGACTACGGCGGTCGATTGACAGGAGAGGTCGAACCAGCGGGCGGTTGCAATCTCGCCAGGCCTCACGGACAGTCCACCACAATGATTGCGGCGGTTGATGTGCGTTGGGCCCTGTCGCTTCTTGCGAAAGAATGAATAGCGCCCCCGACGCATCGAGCCCAAGTTGCGATCATTGTTTGGCCTGCGTTTTTGGCCCTCCACGCAGAACATGGTCCCGAATACCAAGGGAGGGTCTATGGACCCTGCCCAAACCACCAAGGCCCCCGCGACTGGGGCCAATCGCAACCACTTGGGGCCGAGCGCAACCACTTGGGGCGGAATCCATACGGTTGCGATCGGCCCGAAGTGGCTGGCATGTTCTAGGTTCGCTTACAAATTGCTTTGAGAAGCGGGAGCTCGCCAAGAGGGCTTCTGGAATGAGCGGGTTACCTTAGGCTCACCGATCAACTGCTGAACCAACGGTTGCGGTCGGACCGATCGCAGACCGTGAGATGTAGTAGTAGTAGTAGTAGTAGTAGTAGTAGTAGTAGTAGTAGTAGTAGTAGTAGTAGTAGTAGTAGTAGTAGTAGTAGTAGTAGTAGTAGTAGTAGTAGTAAAAGTAGTAGTTGAACATTATTTATTCTAAAGAATAATTATTGTTGGGCCCCCTGGTGCGCGCCCCCCCTGCGCCGCCTAGGCCGCAGCTACATTTTCATCATTTTCGTGAAAGCCTCAGAAAAGAGGGTGTGTACAGGATCCGGTTGTTTTGTTGTAATCCGCTTTCCCTTGCAAAAAACAATAGAAAATGACATTTCTTGTTCTAATATAATCAAATTTCAAGAATCCCTTGCAAAAAAATAAGGTAAAGTGGACATTCGCGCGCGCAAGACGAAATCCTTCCAAAACCTTAGTGTTCGCAGCGATTTTAACATAAAAACATCAAAAAGCCAATGGTTTTTCAACAAAAAATTGTCAAAATCTCATCCCGCGCGCTCTTGCGGATTCGTAGGAAACCCAACACTTTTTAAACATTTCTGTCAAACGGGCTTTTGCGAGCAACTTTTTCGAACTTCTGCACAACGGTTGCGCACCTGCCAGGGCCATCATCCCTGTCAAATAATACCATGCGGGACACATTCGTTTTCTTCGCGCGCGCACGCCGTCGTCGTCGGCCGCGGGGCCCTGAATAGTAGCCACGGTCGTCCGCATGCCACGAAGTGAAGTGTCCGAACGTCATAGGGCGGGAAGCTGGGTGTGGGTGGTGGCGAAGAGTCGTTTGGAAAATTTGTAGAGCTTGAACCGGCCCCCCCACAAAGTGGGGGTATTGCCCGCCGCCTATGAAAACCCTGGCACTGGTGAGAACGGTGTGTCCCCACGTGCTAGTAATTGTTGTTGCTGTTGTT